AAAAACATCTTATTCGAAACGCATTGTGTCAACTACTGTCAGAACATCATACATGTGCAATTTAGTAATTAGTAATTCAATATTGTGATTGTGGGCACCCAGTCTTTGTCAGTATTGCTTTAAAACTGCAATTCTGAGTCTGTGAAGTACCATCCCCTGATTGATATATACATCTTTAAATGTTGAGATTGTGAATGAATGATGAAAAAATAGCAGTCCTCCCAAATTGAAGGTCAGTTGCATTGCGGGCTTGTTTGTCTAATCGATAATAACCTTCAATGCCCTCAAAATAAAAGCTGAATATCAACTTTTTATATAATATTTTCTTTAGCAAATACTGCATAGTTTTTAAACATTTTAGCTTTTAGAGAGTGATGTTTCCCATATTTACAATATGTCAATGCATCTTTAGGACTATAGCAACATAAATGAAATAATTTATGTATTAAAATGATTTCAGTATCACGTGATGTAGTCCTATATTGTTATAATATTAATCACGAGGCAAATGTTATTTCAATATGTTGCTATAAATGTTGCACGCGACGGCATGATCCTAATATGAGCTTTTATTTTTAACCTTACCAGAGCTATAAATGCATAGTACAGTGACAATGATCGGCAAAGACGTTGCTTGTAAGACAGTAAATGTAATATGTATCCATTGTTTACAATTGTGTCATCCAAATCATCAGCATCAACAATACACTCAGTGGACCCAGTACCTTCAATTATACCAACAATCTTCCCATTCTCTTCCACATTGTTCCAGACATGCATATGGTTCTCTCCATCTTCAGGTAAGTCAACCTGTGTCGCTGTGTCATTTGTCCTACCCATTGTGCCAGACGTGGTTTGTTCAACTGTCTTGATCAGTTTTTACTGTAATCATGCTCTACATGTATTAATATGTGCTTTATGATAAAAATGTTCATAGGTCAGGTGATTATATTTCAGACTCTGTATGTAGGTTATACATATCGTATTCATATCTATTGATTCAACCAGTAAAGAATGGCATGATGTATTATTGAGTGTCATGTTCAGATATCCTCTTGTCTTCCGATATAAACTGGCTATTGTGAGGTGATTCATGCTCTGTAAACAGGACAGTGAGTGTAAATATACGTTTGTTCAGAATGATAGAATTGGAAATCGCCAAAGACATGGGAATACGTTATTATCATGTTGAAGTGATGTGAGGCAACTGTAGTCACTGGAGTAACTGGAATATTTCGCCGATATATCTCATTATTATAGGTTACACCACTGGAAAGAAAGGTGTTGTGAGGGCGTAGAAACAAATTTCAGAGGTCCCGTGGTGTTACCTAATTATACACTGGCTGTTTCAATTTAAGTATTATGAAAGTCAACACTCTACAGCCAGGGCCAGGGCCTGCTTAACATCTGTATTACAATAATGGATGATACAACAAATCAGCATGTGTTAGAAAATTGGCTGTGCATTGGAAAGCATTGATTTGAGAACATTGTAGGACACATCAGCCACAAGAGAGGGTAAGCTACAATGTTGGACACAATTGTGTTGTGATATTTAAGTTTGAGATGACAAATTGTTTATCTCATAAACTTCGTTGTTCCCTCGATTACATCTATGGCAATTCTACACTATTCAGTCTCAATGGTGCATATCTTGCATGTCATGGTATATTATTTCGGTTAAAGCCACTTTTACAAGCACAGCTTGTATTTACTTTACACATTTTCTTGGCATGTGTATTTCCTTCATCGCAGAATATCACACAAGATTGAGTCTTTGGGGCTTATAGTAATCACTGCTAGGAAGAATTACAATTCCGATTGTTGAAAAACACTCAAATAATTCTCTTGAGCAAATTGGATTCAGGCCTCTCATATATCTTGCTTGGATAATTTCACTGACGTCGTAATGGTAACCTAGTTCGATTGGCATGTGTATGCGAAACGATATGCATTTCAGTCGAATTAGTGACTTCATCATTCTATAGAGAATATTTTGAATGCGATTACAAAGGTATAGCATTGATAAATACATAGTCTTGTAGGTTTTGATATATCGGATGCTGACAATAAAATAATCGTTAGAATATCTTCCTTGGATACCTGCTCATTTTGTTGTTATGACAACTTCTTTCCTTCAGCATTTCATCAGAAAACAGCTCTTTTCTGGGCCAAAAAGTGGGTTATAATTTCAATGCTGGCCTCTCTTCTGTAATTCCAACTATAAGCCATACCTGATAAATGTCGTCGTGAAATTTATCTTTTTTAACATAATTATTTTCAGTACTTCTGAAATAAAACAAAACTAGAACAGTTAGTACTTGATAATAATTAAGATCAAGAGTAAGATGATGGCACTGTATATAGTTCATACCCCAGCGACCATGGCAATTATATGCCATCAATCGTAAATGCTGATGTAGATTTACCACTAATCATTATGCACTGTTCTGCCCACGATATACTAGAAGGCAACACAGATGCAAAGAAATACACTACTAGTAAGTAGAATAGCCACGTCAACTCTCATCAACCTACATTTATAAAATGGTGTTTTGTATACCAATGCTGTATCATTATCATCGTTCTTGGTGACGTAAACTTTGCATCAATTATATTTAGCCCACGTGATACAGCAAAACAGTTGTCAGAACACAGTCATGTCAATAGAAAACCCCAAATCATGTTCTATAGCAAATGAATAATATGTCCACCGTGAATAACCTAATAGCCAATGTAAACGAAGCACAATCTGCCCATCAAAGAAACCCAATGTGATGACGCATACCCCCATTGCTGTTGTGAGAGACGAATGGTTGGGATGTCGATACCTTGCCTTTTCTTTCTTCTTCTCTGGAATTACACATCCACGTGATTCAAACAAGTACAACAGTGTCTCAAAGAATCCCAAAGATCTATTCCATATATAATATTGTTCCTATAAATCCGCGTAAATGTTCGTTATGAAGGGCATGTTATTTGTTATCATTGTAGAGTTAGCAGTTTGAATCAAGAATTGAGTTACAGTTATATGCCTAAATTTTTCCAACAAAGATAAAATCCAAAGATTACATAAATTGTGCACAGTTTATAGTATATACCACAGTCCCTCTATATACCTATGTGTATGACTGTGTATATACCATGATCACCGAATACATTGTACACATTGTGTATAATTATAATGAAAAACTAGAAGGTATCAAATGTGAGAAACAATAATGAAGATGTTGATCATGCATATATCGGTCCTTTGATCTGTCCGATGTGTGCCATGTTTATGTTAGGAGAATATTTTGCTCCTTACAGCAGGCTTCTTACCAATATCAAGAGTGCTGTACCCACGCCCACAGCTATCCTCCTAGTTGCCTCAGTGCAGTTGTCCATGATATAATGGCAGTGGTTGTGTTGAAGATAGGTGTCATTGTTGTCACGGGTGATTCTCGAATTATCTATGTACATACCACATAACAAAGTAGCCCAAACTTTTAAATGTAACTATCACATTTATTTCTGATATAGATGATACACCAACTTGTAGTTGAAGGTCATTTAGACTGCGCTGCATCATTGACAGAAAAATCATAGCCATGATTCCCCACTATAAGCTTGCCTGAAAGTGTCAGCAAATGTATAAGGCAAGTAGTACGCCCACAGGGCTTATTATGCCAGATATTTTACAATCTATAGAGCACAGACGATAAAATGGAGAAAAACTTCCATCATCCACGGAAAATAATTTTTAACACAATACTGAAAACAATTTTTGTGGTGTAAATTTGCTGCTTGACATAAATGTATCAGGTTTCTTTAAAAGCATGTTATCAGCATGTTACCCATTCATAGAAAATAGCAACATTGTTACTCATATGGAATAATAGACATATTTTATTGGGGGGTAGATCTCTATTCTCACATGAATTCTTCAACCATAACATAATGTTTGTTGGACAATTGTTTCATGTAATTGATCGTCTATTACAATGGGAAGAAATTAAAGAAAAGGGTGTTTCAAGTAGATATGTTTTACAATGGTTTGGTCTAATCATGGGGGTAATTCTTATTTATTACCTCCATGGTCTAATACATGCACTACCAGTTGAGATGAAACAAAATACAAGTATGAATAATTTTAACATCAAGAAGAACAAATGTTATGTTGTGTAAATGGACGCCCCCTGGAGTTGATTCAGATAAATGTACATTCTGTAATTCTGAACCTGTAACATTAATTCATCTTTTTTGTAATTTGTAGTTGTAGTTATATTGAGGAATTTTGGGAATGCTTTTTTATGTCATGGGGAAGGACACTTGGTTTACATACTCGTCTCAATGCAGCACAAATTATAATACTTGGTGATGAACAGGAAACTTGCTTGACTAATTTTCATATTCTAATTGCAAAACGTTTCATTTATATTTCTTGGACAAAGAAACAAATTATTGATTTCGTTGGATACATAAAATCTGTACAGCATATTCAAAAATTAGAATATTTTACTGCTTTGAGAAGGAATAAATGAAATAGCCATATAAAGAAATGGGGTAATTACTTGAAAACAGTTATCCAAAGTAATTTACAAGAAAACTGAGTACATTTATTACTGTAATATGTCAATCATACTGTTACATGTAAAAACATCCAGACATTTCAACATTTTTAAAACAGTGATGTAATGTATTAACATTTAACAATTTCCATATTACTTAACATCTAAAATGTATCTTTCATAATAAAGTTCCAATAACAATTTCCAAAAAAATGTGCTACGCCCTCACACCACCCCCGATGTCCCGTGGTGTTCACTACGTTAATTAGTTTTCATACATCCCAATTAATTGTATACTAGTACATGTATTCAAATAAATTAGTGAATTTTCTGAAGTCGCAGAGAATTTGAAATTCAATAAAATTGAGTCGTCATTTCTATAAACATAATTGTATTGGTAATCCTAATTATATGACCGTCTCCATTACTAATATGCTAAGTTAAAACATTTCTTCACAATTATATTACAGTAGGAAATCTTCTTTGTACCACATTGAAATGTGGGGGTAACTCGTTTCTGGATATTTTGATGAAATGTTAAGTATTTTTCTCAATGTTCTTCCACAAATCAGACATAAAGCATAGTGTACAACACCCAAGTCGAAACAACTACGAGCAGTGTTAAATCACTAGTAGTGTCACACTGACATAACTACGAGCAGTGTTAAATCACTAGTAGTGTCACACTGACATAACTACGAGCAGTGTTAAATCACTAGTAGTGTCACACTGACATAACTACGAGCAGTGTTAAATCACTAGTAGTGTCACACTGACATAACTACGAGCAGTGTTAAATCACTAGTAGTGTCACACTGACATAACTACGAGCAGTGTTAAATCACTAGTAGTGTCACACTGACATAACTACGAGCAGTGTTAAATCACTAGTAGTGTCACACTGACATAACTACGAGCAGTGTTAAATCACTAGTAGTGTCACACTGACATAACTACGAGCAGTGTTAAATCACTAGTAGTGTCACACTGACAATGACACTATATTACGTATGCTCACATTCGTATTCTAATTGTTGAATAGCGTTTGTTTCAAATGTGCCACGTCATGAAGACGTCATTATTCATGAGATGTTCGATTAAGACAAAAAAATCAGTAAACAAAAGCTAAAATATCGACAGGCGTGTTTATAACTGGTGAAAACGTCTCTCGGGACAACGTTCAGACAATCAACTGAGTTTGGATTCACAACAAAATAACCGAGAAGTCACAGCAAAATAACACAGTTGTAGTTATAGTCTGCACACATTGCCCTCGTTTAATCTCTTTCGCGCGCTGTACCGCGTGCAACGATTACGTCAGTTCTTTTTTGTAAAATCTCGTAATCGTGGTAAGCGCTTTTCAATTTGCAAACGAAATGTGTTTCTCAGGATATTCATAGAGTAATAGTAGCATCATAGGTGTTAGGAGCATGCGCACCAAAATAATTATACCCATATAGTTCTTGCATTCACTACACGTTCCTGACAATGTTTTGTTTATTTTGAGAATAACAATTGCATAGAATGATGATTTGTAACAGTCAATATCCGGCAGGATATCCTCCTGCTTTCCTTTCATCTGAATATGCATGCAGCAGGTCACTGTCCCTCAGTATCGACGTTACAACAGAATAAACTGGCATAGTTTCTGTCAATGTATTTCCAAGATCCTGTAGTCCATCCAAAACATCCTGTAACAATGGATCACATAGTTAACGTTATGGTTTAAATATGAAGACTTTTCTATAAAAGCAAGTAGTGTTTATAAAATACCATAAGCTGCAATATTGGCATATTTTGGAATATAGGTAAATAAATGTCACCGGATATATCCTTATAACAGTCAGATAGCTAGAACACGACATAATGTTTAGGTGCATTGACGAAACATTCTAACAGTTTACACCCTATACAGTCATTTAGTCTTTTAAAATAACGGAGAAGGCAACTTTCTACAAGCGTCATCTCAGAGTACAACTTCAATACAACCACCGTTTCGTCGATGGAGGGCGAGATAATACAACCACAAATAGATGTAGCGATCGTTTCAGCATGATCATACCATAGAATAACTATCAATCCACTTTGGGTGAAAAATAGATACAAATACACAAACCTGTTCGAATGTCGTTTCGTATTTAATTTCATCAGGTAGGAGTTGGTGATGTAATCTTTCCTTGGTCACAGCGATCTTCAAGTTGTCCCCGAACCAAAGAGCGTTCATCGTCACCTACAATAATGTAATAATTTGCAGACCTAAAAACCTTCTTTATATATTTGGAATTACTTCTTACTCATGGAAATGGATTACTATACTAGAATTAATTAACTGTGTAATGTAATCCTTATGATGTAATGTTGCCAATAAAATATAAAAAAAAAATTGCAGTCACATGAATTGCGAGAGAGAAGGGGTCGGTGTTCGTTTCAGGCCATAACTCTGACTTTAACTCACCAAACTGGACGTTGTTATAATTCTCGTCCCACCAGCAGCGCCAACGACCATTTTTGCGTCATCGTTACTGTCCAATATTATCATCGGCGACATAGACGACAGGGGGCGCTTGCCTGGTTCAATGAAGTTAGCCTCAGATGGCGGTATACCAAAGAAATTTATCATGCTCGGTGAAGAGAAGTCGTCCATCTCATTATTGAAAATAATTCCTGTCCTACTTCCACGTACTTTGGAACCAAAACTGCAATACGTAATCATGATTGAAAACGTTTGAATTTCTTTATTTATTAACGCATGCGCGTTAAATTATACAGGGACTGGCATCTCTCGAACGGATTTCTAAACTTACTATAAATTAATGGAAGAAGTAACAGCTACGGCATTTCCCATTTCATCAATGACAGAAAGATGTGACGTCCCAGCATCTTCCGGACTATAAAACATACCACCATAAACACCAATATCTTGAGTTCGACTGTCATCGATCTGCCATCGGAGATCTTCGGCGTATTTATCTGAAGTCATATTGCTAATAAGCTGGTTGAAAAAATGCCACAGTAAAAAATATTACATGGTGTTCTAAGCACGTACATATGAACACATGAACAAATTCCGGGTTATTATGCTTTGAATATCATGTAATGTACAATCATTTATGCACAGTGAGTTTGTAACTGAACAGGACGAAAGAATACCCGTGGACAGCCACCGAACACTGCCGTGGACAGCCACCGAACACTGCCGTGGACAGCCACCGAACACTGCCGAGAACAGCCACCGAACATTGTATGTTATTAGTGACATGCCAACATTGTCGCCAATCGTTTGTAACAATAAATTAATTAACAATAAACTCCGAAATCGGGAGAACGGCTCCACAAATGTGGCAGAATGCAATCTAATTTTTTTATATCATTTTTCATTCTTTGGATATTCAACCTTTCATCAATATGTAGTCCGCCATCTTAATTCTCCCACAAAGGATTATGGGTAAAATATGACATCATTGCTACTTTTGTGAGAAATTGACAAAAGAATTTCACCTATTTCAATGTGTATATAATTATAATAAAAATTAGAATGTTGCAAAGACACAAAAATTAAGGATATTACCAATAAGGTAAACTAAATAAAAATCGTTATTTTGATCATAAAAATAACTACTAGTAGTAGTATGACACTTGTGTGTCTTCTTTTGGGGTTCAACAGATTCTATATAAACCATATAAGCCACTCTTGCCGATAAATTGTATAAAATATACAAATGATTGAGCATTTGGTAGAAAGTTATAGATAAAATTATTTTCTCAATTTTTCACAACTATATGTGTGATATAGAACTTTACCCACAATCCTTTGCTGGTTCAATATCTAGAGAATGAAAAGTGATATAAAAAATGTAAATTGCATTCCCCTACATTGGTGAAGCTTTTTCATCTGGAAGCATTCTGTTTTTTGCCCTGATTTCTCCTGGTAATTTCTGCAGATATAGTATAACGATAATTTCCACTACTACACATGTATATACATGTACATGAAATTTAATGACAACTGCTTGCATTTTCGAGAGGGTTAATTGGGAATTCTTGATAATGAATTGGTACCACCAGAAAGTACAGGATATTTGACCTTTTGTAGGTCCTGCATGAAGCATACGGCATACAAAATACTAGTTCTGAGGTTGCAGTGACGGTACTAAAACAATACGCTACAGCTTCCCGCCAAAAATACTAGTATGAAAACTTACGTCAGTGAGATCCACAAAATCTTCGTCTGCAAGTTGAGTTCGTCTGGCAAATGCGAATTTAAATGCTTCAACGATCCTATGGTATGTGCGAATTCTCGTCTCTGTAGTTTCCAGGTCTGATTGGTCGAAGTTGTAACCTTATGACGAAATGTATAGAGTTTTGTGAATTACGAATAGTAGTTGAACGCACTCAGCGACGAGACTCTATAATGTTTATTGGATTTAAGGTAGAGATGCACTTTATTTGTGAATTTCAATCAAAAATCGTTTTTTCGTTTTTTATATAGATTTTTATCTAAAGAACATTCTGTGAAAATTTGACCAATGAATTCTTATTGGAACACCGTTAAAATTGCTATTTATTTTCTGGTTAAAAATAAAAAACACTCACACGTGGCAATGTTTATGTCCAATTGCCTAATTTGCATGAGTAACCAAATAACAAGACCTTTGATTGACAATATGCAAATCGAGATTGTACGAGTCATAGTTCATTCAATTCACGCGCATGTGCAATTATTCTCAAATCAGTTCTCGCTCGCTAGCAAATCAAACATTATATTTCCTCAGCGTTTTTTTCTTAATTTTTATCATTACATTATGCGTGGTGTGAAAAGAAAGAGAGGTAGAAA